TGGGGGGACACACATGAAATATATAATTTTATATATTTATTATATGTTATATATATGAATATATTATTTAAAGATAATAAAAAATGTAATATGACACAAATTCCTATAAATTTATATGGTTTTTGTTTATTATTGTATCTTAAGTTGTTTTGTTCAAACTTATAATTAAATTAATTTCACGTGTCTAATTGATAGACATGTGTGTTTACGCGATTTACAAGTGTGCAAAGAGTGTCTGGATCTTTAAAAAAATTTTAAAAAAATAAGACACGTTTTGAAGAGTGTCGGACACGTGTTCAAAGAGTGTCGGTGTCTGACACAGACACGACACGACACGAATACGTCACATTCTTAGAAGTGTCCGTGCTTCTTACCTTCTTAAATACAAAATAACATGTTTTGCTTTATCGATTTATCTTTTTATTGATTTTTAAACCATAGTAAGAGTGATTCTAACTACTTTGATTTGATTGATAATAACAATATGAATAAATAAAATATTACATTGCAAATATAGTAACATAATTTAAGGAACAAATCTTAATGACATTAATTTAAAGAATAAATTGAAAATTTAAATTGAAAAGAAAAAACTAATTTTCAACCAATCATTGCAAAACATACTGACATGTGGAATTTTTAACAATTTAAAATTCAAAAAATTGAGAAAATTAGATTGAGAGTTTCAATCTCAAAGGCGTAATAACGTTTTTGTTTATATAATAGTATAGATTAGGCAAATGCTAAAGAGTAATGAGTGCCCTGGGATGCATTGTTTAATATTGGGATCGAGATAAAAGGTGTCCTGAAAATATGTGAAATAGTTATAAAGTGTATTGATTTAAGTAAAAAGTGTATCCTGTTCTTCAATTTTTTTGCCTTCTTGTTCCCTATTATTTGATAGTTGTAAGAAAGTATAAGGGTACACGTTTATGTTTTCTTGAAAGTAGCATTTTCTGTTTAAATGTAAACCAAATAGTTGTTGGAAGTTCAAAGCTTGTTGGAAACCAAATGATTGTGACTGTGTGAAGAGTAACTCTTCTAAATATGTCATTTTTTTTTTTTGCTTTTAGTTCACTTCTCTTGGGGGCTACTTTCTTATAGCATACTCCCAGCTGCATAGGATTTGTGTTAAATTTTTTTGGTCTTACCAGTAAGACCATTCTATTAGCTCATGACTGATCTGGAGGAGATCTAGTCAGAGGTGACTGTAGAGTTACCAGCTGTGCTTCATTTTGGGAGAATCTAAAAACACATTTTTTTATCTAAGCAGTTTGAATTTTATCTTTTCTATCTGTAAGACAATAACAAAGATCATACGTTGAATGCTTTAGAACATAATAAAATCTTGGGCAACCAAAAAGGGGAGAGGGCCATAACATTAGACGGCTCTTGCAAATGGCAAATATGTCAGTATAAATAAACATCTAACTAGTTTTCGAAAGTAAGTGGAATTATCCAAATTCACTAACATTTGAGTCGATCACATACTACAATAATTTCTTAAAATTTTGTTTCGATGCACTTTTTAGGTGGGTATTTTCACGGACGTAACCATTTAACTTATGGAGTTGATGTTCGCAAGATACGCTGGCTGGGTGTGCTACAGGTAGTTGTCATAGCTTTGCAAATCTATATGAAATGTTACAGAAATGCAATAATGATGATAAAACTGAAGAACTGTTGAATCAATTCAATATCTTACTTAAAGATGAATTACAACTTCAATGTATATTTATACAGATCCTAACACATACTCAGCATTGGATAACTAACTAACTAATCATCTAACAGCTCAGCTAACTAATTCAGTTACACGAGAGATACTATCCTACTACAGCAGTCCATCACACTCTATGATGCACCTTGTCACGGCCTTGGTTGTTTCCAAACTATCCGTGCAGCACTTAGACAATCTCAAAGTTCACTTGATGATGCTAAGTCAGCCTAACTCACAAACTTAGAAGAAAGACAAGTAAGAAGAACACAAGAGACTTTGAGAGAATGCCTTGTAGTCACTATGAGAAAGCTTTACAACTCTTGGATGGTTTGAAGCAAATGAGCTCCTCCCCTATTTATAGGCACTCTTAGCCTCTCATGGAACACTCTAGAAGTCACTAGGAAATACATTACAAGCTACAAGAATATTCTAGAATGCTCTAGAAATATTTATACAAGATATTTACAAGTTTAAGTGTGTTGAATACTCAAGGATGTTCTAGAATTCTCCACGTTCTCGCAAGTGTTGGAATGAGCTAGGAAGTTCTAGATCTTTCCATTAACCTCTATGCTCCCAAGCTCCCATGTAGGGGATTTTTGCCATAGGAAATTTAGCAGCTTGTGACCTTCTCCCCCACCTATGCTGGTGATGACTTCGTCTCATCCTTCCTGCGAAACTTTTGTATTTGCTCCTAGAACTACCAAAAAGCTTCTGCTGGTTCCCAGCTAGCCTCGCTTTCTGGTAGTCCTTTCCATTTTACTAAGTATTCCGTGCTAGGAGGAACTCCACGCCTTCGAATGACTCGGTCGGCCACAATGTATTCTACATCTTTGTCATAAGAGGTTGTTATTGCCGTTGGTGCTCGCAATGATTTCCCTCGGTTTGGGTCTTCCAAGTTAGCATGATAAGGCTTCAAATTACTTACATGGAAGACTGGATGAATCTTAAGCTTTGGAGGTAGTTGCACCTGATAGGAAACTTTCCCAACCTTCTTTGTGATGGGAAAAGGTCCTTCATATTGTCGCACCAATCCTTTATGCACCTTTCTTAGGGACTTGAACTGTTGAGGCAACAGCTTGACAAATCCCCAGTCCCCCACTTGGAATTCCACCGCTTGTCTCTTTCTGTCAACCCATTTTTTCATTTTCTTAGACGCCTTGTCTAAGTAGGCCCGTGCCACATCGGCTTGCTTTGATGCCACGTGTCACGGCCTTGGTTGTTTCCAAGCTATCCGTGCAGCACTTAGACAATCTCAAGGTTCACTTGATGATACTAAGTCAGTCTAACTCACAAACTTAGAAGAAAGACAAGTAAGAAGAACACAAGAGAGTTTGAGAGAATGTCTTGTATTCACTATGAGAAAGTTTTACAACTCTTGGATGGTTTGGAGCAAATGAGCTCCTCCCCTATTTATAGGCACTCTTGGTCTCTCATAGAACACTTTAGAAGCCAGTAGAAAATACATGGAGAGGCTTCCCTTAGAAGCCTTTCTTACAAGTTACAAGAATATTCTAGAATGCTATAGAAATATCTATACAAGATGTTTACAAGTTTAAGTGTCTTAAATACTCAAGGATGTTTTAGAATTCTCCATGTTCTCTCAAGTGTTGGAATGAGCTAGGAAGTTCTAGATCTTTCCATTAACCTCTATGCTCCCATGTAGGGGATTTTTGCCATAGGAAATTTAGCAGCTTGTGACAACCTGCTCTCTTTAATTCTTCAGCTGAGATGTCTTCCCTATCAAAAATCTTACTTGTTGCCATATTTAAGTTTGACTATATGAATATGTGTTGATCACTTAAAACAAGCATTTTTTCTTTACTTTTTATTTATCATTATCATAGTTGTTATTTATATTTCCCTGTCCAGAAGTTTGATATGTTTCTCTATTTTCATTCCTCAGTTGTGTATTGAACTGAAGGCATCTGACATCTGAGCATATGATTTTGGTTGTCTGTAAAAATGATTTACTTTGTTGACTTCTAAGTACGTATATCCTGTCCTGTTCTTCTGTAGTTGACAACTAGAATTTAAAAAAGTATAATTTAATTTTCACTTCTAGTTTGCATATGGATATTGAGTTTTAGTCTTTGTTATGCTGTTGGCAACTGCATTATCATCTGAATTGTTGTAATATACAGAGAATTTCAATCGGATATCTGTTTGCTTCATTTATGGACATCTGGCTCGTTAACAACATTGTGGTTGACTCAGCACTAGCATTTGTGAAAAGATACTACATCCAGTGGTAAATTTTTTTATATAGATTTTTATACTTCCTGTGAATTGCGAGTCATTCATGTGCAGGTGTACAATATCCCCTTTTTATAATTCTTCTGCTTAGATAATCTGGAATGCAGATGGACTAAGACTTCATCTTGGGTGCTGAATTCTAAGAAATTGTTTTTCACAACCCTAATCTCTAGCTTCATACAGTGTACCAACTAGGATGCATAAATTCTTGGTGATGTAAAAAATGGAAGGGGACTTGTTCTATGACAACTTTGGAAAAATGTCACAGGTTAACGGTTTCAAGACTGTCAGAAACCTGAAAAGAAATCCAACAAAAAAATGGTGTCTTTGTGGAACACGTGTGACAATTCTAATGGTTTGATTGGGATGTGGAACTAAAATTCTAGTTTCAATTCTTACAAGAGTGGAATTAAACTGAAATTATGACTCTGTTGCTTGGAATATAGAGAGAAATCTAGATTCATTGATAATAGGTCCCATTTCCAACCCTTTTCAGTTGAGCCTAATCGATTAATATATGTTAATTCTGCCTTCTTTTCATTGTCCAAGCCTCATCCAAATAAATTGAACCCAATTTCTGAGTTTCAGGGGTATTATATTATATTTTGATGTTTATCTAGTCCATGCATGTGACATCAATGGTGAAACCTGTAGTTATAAAGTCCACCTTCTCTGAATGTCCCCCTCCCCCAAACACACACACCAAGCACATACACACTCACACTCCTACCCCACCCCCACCACCCAAAAAAAAAAAAAAAAACTATTATCCGGTTTTGGCTGAGCTTGCTAATCTTTTCTTTTGTCTAGGATGGTTGCTTTCTTGCTAGGATCTCTTTACATGTGCTTGCTCTATGGCCTTTATGTTCCAAACTGGAAATATGAAGTTCCAAGCACAAACTCGAGCTCATCAACATCAAGATATGGATTTGATTCTCAAGTTGTAAGTCAGAAAGATTTTAGTTTCCAAGAAACATTCGCTGACAAGATTCTACTTTTGAGTTGCCTTAATTGGGTTTGGGAGTTTGAAGTCTATTGTTTTAAACATTAAGCTGGAAGTCATAGATATCAGTTGAATGCCTTTACAACTTTTCAAACTCAAGGCAATGTCAGGAAACATGGGATATGTTTTTGTCCAACACTAATATTATTTTGCAGATGTTCTGATGTCTGTACAAACATATACGTTATGTTCATTGTATGTGTAAGCACATGGTTGTGTACCATATATTTTTTATGTGCCTTTTCAGACTTGTGGAAAATCTCCCAAAGCTTTCTAGACCTTATAGAGATTACAAAATTGCCTCTCACGCTTTTTTTTTATTATTTATTTTTAAACTTTGCACTGTGGTCACTTGATGTTTGCCATAAGTTAAGATTTGATTATTAATAATCTTCATTAATATTTGATTACTACCATATGTTGCAGAGTCGTTCACTTTTATTATTAGTTTCTTCCCTGTGTCATTGCACCCCTATGTTTAGATAATTGTTTACTACAGTTGGGCGTTAACTCTTCGGATTCCAATCCATGCTAGCTCAGGGTTGATTCTTCTCATTCCCCTCTGATCATCATGTTAGTTGGGCTAGAGCAGATCTGCACCAATCCTCGAGTGTTTCTAAGTCAAACTGTGGATTTGACTGACCTGCTCTCTTCTATGTGAAAGTTTTAGAACTGTCATTCTCATTCTCATTCTCATTCTCTCACTCTTAATCTGTGCTGTTGTGAACTATATTTTTTCTTATCTTTTTTAGCCTGAAATGTCAGATCTGTGTTTGTTTCAGATTTTAGTTTAGCTTATAATCAAGTTGTATGAGGAAGTTTGATGCTTTTTTATTTTTCACAAAATCTTTTGTAGCTTAATTTCGATACTATATTCTTTTCTTCTCCTTCATTTTTTTTTTTTTTCCATTTATTTTATGGAACTATTTGTCAATTCACCACATTGGTTTTCTAGGTGCACTGTGGAATGAGGGGCAGTCTTCAACCTCCTTGTAATGCTGTAGGTTTGGTTGATCGATTTTTTCTTGGCGTACAACATCTTTATCAACATCCTGTCTACAGAAGAACGAAGGTGCACCAAGTCCCCTATTATCACTGCTGTCTTTCCTATATTAAAGTCTTTAAATCCCTTGAAGATCCTTGCATGGTTAACTCCCTTGAAGATCCTTGCATGGTTAACTTTCTCCATATAACAGGAATGCAGTGTCAACTCTCCTGATTATGGACCTCTACCACTAAATTCACCAGAATGGTGCCTTGCTCCATTTGACCCCGAGGGCATCTTAAGGTTAGAGAACTTTCTGACCCATGAACTTTAAGTACTCTTTATCTTATATTTTATTTCTAAGACTGGGGATATCCTCAAGCGCGAGAGAAGTGATAGTCATAAATCATGGCATTCTGATCACATGAAGTATCGTATCTAAATGTTGCCATAAATCTTAATTGAGTGGAAAATCAGAATAGCAATGCCTTTATCTTATTCGATTCCTCTGCAGAGCTGACTTAATCTTACCATTTGCTATTTCAAATCCCCAAGTTGGCATTGGAGGAAAGCAAGCTGGAAATGTACCCAATCTACTCCCAAACACTTGTTCACTTATTCCCAAATAGCATTAGAGATTCCATTATGATCCAAGACAAATCTTAAATGTTGTACTTTATCTATTAAGGGCCTAACAAATGTTGAATGGTATTCATATTTGTCATGTATTTATATATAGGTATTATGCTATTCAGATCGACCATTTCCTTTTTGGGGGATTGATGTTATAACTTGAACAATTTGTTTTATTTCTACTGAGGACAATCCTTCATTATTATTATCAAAGGTTTAGAGTAATTTCATGGTCTTTTATTATTTAAGTTAATAGGATTGATATCTTTGATAAGGCAGCACTTAGAGAATAGCTCCGCTGCTGTATTTTCTGACAGAAATATTTTAGTCTTGATAATATTATTTTTATATGAAGGCTCTTTGATTAAACCTCTTTTGCTCTAAAATGTTCTAGCTCGTTGATGGCTGCCATTACGTGTGTTGTGGGATTGCATTATGGACATATTATTGTGCATGTTAAGGTACAACACGTTTGTTGCTTTTATTTAGCATGCTTTTGCAGCCTAAATTGCTTCTCAAGTGTATTTATTAAATTCGATGCATGTCAAGATGCAATCACATGATCAATCTTTTGTTGATTTGTGTTATATTACTAGAATTTCTTGCTTGCCTACATTTTGCAGGGCCACAGGCAAAGGGTATTTTGGTGGTCCATATCATCCTTCCCTCTACTAATTTCAGGCTATGTTTTAAAGGTGTTAGGTATGCTGTCTTACGTTAGCATCTGATTTGCAATCCTAATACTTCAACTACTCCATTGTTCTCCTCTAACTGCAAGGTATGCTTGATTCTTCCAGGTATTCCTTTTTCTAAACCGCTTTACACTTTGAGCTATATGTGCATTACAGCAGGAGCATCAGGATTCCTCTTAACCATCATCTTTTACATAGTAAGTCGATTCTATGTTCATTTATATACATATATTATATTTGTATTTGTAATCATGTATATATATATTCTGTGGGCCTACCCCAGCGATAGCAGCCCAATGTTTTTTTGAGATCCAAGGCCAAACATCAAAATGAGGCCTAGACCTTAGAGTCTTTGGCAGGAGGAAATTTTTGGTGGGCCTTAGGTGGACTGCTAAGTTGCCTATATTGTTGAGCCGACTCTAAGGTTGCGGTTACTATGGTCACCCCCAAATTTGGGCACTTGCCGGTCGCCGCTCCTACCTTTCTTGTCAGGGAAAAGAAGAAGAAGAAAGGCTCAGTAATGGTAATATGTATAAAAAGTAATAGATATCTCTTTTATGATTGACCAAGTAAACAATTTTAATAATGCAATTAAATGAACTCACTCATTCTAATTGAGGACATATTTGTAAATTATATATTGGTTATCCCTTTTTTCTTTTTTTGACAAAACAAACAGAGCGTTAATCGCATTCTATTTACCTGTTAAATCCTGAACTATCGGATAATAACCAGTAGCATCATGATTTCAAAATGATCCTTCAGTTTTTGTGCCCCGCGATTCCAATCCAACACTACCACAGCCATTCTGGTACAACATTAACATAAGACAAACTCATATTGGTTATCCCTTGGAATACCATTAACTCAGTTTCATAGGAACAAACTTAGAACTCAGCACTCAGATGCAAGTTTGAGGGTGGGCTTTAGAATTAACATATGGCAGAGTTGGACTTTCTTTTCTTGGTAAATGAATAAATATACAAAGAATTACTGTGGGTTTATTTTGATATATTTTTTTTATGCAGGTTGATGTCAACCAGGTTAAAAAGCCCACGATGGTGCTTCAGTGGATGGGAATGAATGCTCTCATTATTTATGCTTTGGGTGCTTGTGACCTCTTTCCAGCAGCTTTGCAAGGTTTCTATTGGCGCTCACCAGAAAACAATCTGGTATTTCTCTTTTTTCCTGCCTCGTAAGGGGTTTTTATAGACGGTGATGGATATTTGCTCATGGTAGATAATTGTTTGCTTCATTTGATATGTCGGGCATTGGATTAAATAATCTTAAATATTAAATACATGCAGGTTGATGGAACGGAATCACTGTTACAGTTCATGCTTCATTCAAAGAAGTGGGGTACCTTGACATTTGTAATGCTTGAGATATTATTTTGGGTTCTTGTTGCCGGTTTCCTACACATGAAACACATATATGTGAAACTATAGGAAATTAAATGACATGCCCATTGCATAGGACACTTGTGAATAACAAAATCTTATCAGATATCAATCTTTTTCTTTCCCCACTCTCATTGTACATTTTCCTATCTAAAAGGAAGTAAAAACCCTTATTTTATCATCCACTTAAAAGTAATAGTGCTTTCACAAAATAAATATGTTTTGCAAAATGGATTGAGGCACGTTAATATCGCTTTTTTTTTTTTATTATTATTAAAAGAAAAAAGAAGAAGATATTCAAGATTTGGTGTAGCAAATATTAAATTATCTTTGCACAAGAAGTTAAACCTAAAACTCCACCATAAAGCATCCTTACAAATGATTTGGAGGGCAGGCTACGGAAGATATAGGTCTAACATATTGGATACTTTCTGCTATATTGTCATTCCCTAAAGTCTTTGATATAAAAGAAGGGGGGCAACTGGTAGAATTTTGCTCTGGGTCCGAAGAGCTTCCTTGGCAAGTAAATATGCACAATTGTTTGCTTGGCAAATCACCTGGAGATCACACTGCCAGTCCCCGTCAATCATATCTCAAATTTCCTAGCATAAATTGGAGTTAGGATCCACAAAGCTTGGAACTTCGAATTTCCTAGCATAAATTAAAGTTGGGATCCACAAAGCTTTGAACTTTGATAACACGAACTGCTTCCTTGGAATTGAGTTAGCAGTTGCCTTCATCTTGGGAATACACATTTTTTATCTAAGCAGTTTGACTTTTATCTTTCATATATAATGAAAGATTATAACAAAGATCATGAATTGAATGCTTTTTTAGAATATAATAAAATCTTGGGCAACCAGAAAGGGGAGAGGACCATAACATTCAGAGACTCTTGTAAATGAGTTTTGTAATCTAGTCATGTTGAAATAACGGTCTATTTTTCAAGTCACATTGGTGTCCACTGTGGTCTAAAAGTGTTGGGATGTAGACGAGGTAAAGGATTGTTTTCACATCAAGCCATTCATGGAACTGAAAAAGGTGAGGCAAAACGCACTTTCCTTTGTGTTTTTCAATGTTCATACTTTGGCAACTGGGACTCGGTTTTATTTCAAAGGAGCCAGTTCAAAAAATTTATACAAAATCACTGCTGATATTTCGATTCGTTTAAATCAATTGAACTAAATCAATCTGTCATATTTTGGATGGATGTGTGATGAAGAGCAAACGGTTGCGGATTGATTTTTTTCAATTCACCTAATTTTAAACGAATGACGGATTTGAGATTCCTTTGGCCGTGACCGAATCACCAAATCGCGACCACTCCTAATAATTTGTAAGACTTTATATTTTCAATTTGTTTAGATATTCTGTTTGTGTTCTCTCAATTAAAAAAGAGTTTAGATATTCTGTTGTATTTTTAATTTGTTTTCAATTTGAAAATCTTTTTATCAAACGGCAATTGTTGATATTTTGTATTTTTGTATGGAAAATATAAGGCTTAATTTTGTCATTTTAAAAAAAATCAAATTAAATAGTTTTTGAATAATAATAAAAAAAAGAGTAAAGAAATAGTTTTGATAATGGATGGTTCTCTTATATATATTTATTATTGATATTTGACAATTTACTTGATAATCTTTTAGTTATGTTGAGTTGAATTGTTATTCAAAAAAAATATTGACAAGATGTATTATATTTGAAATTTGTAAAAGATTAAACTGTCAAACCGATTCACATCTATTTGCCAATACGCTCAATCGGCATCTGTCAATCTGGCAAATAGATGCAGATTAATTTTTTTCAATCCGTCAATCTGACGGACAGATGACAAATTAAAAATTTGTTGGCCGTAACCAAACCACAAATACCCGTACAAAATGATGCGTCTTGTGGTCTCTTCATTTATAATGAAAGCAATTACCATTATCTTCATAATTTAGTAAATATCACTATCACATCATTTAAGTTGTGAATTTTGTATAAAACTTCGATAAATATATCATTTTCCATGTAATGTGAGAAAATTATTAGGAAGCCTGTTGAATTTAAGATAGTTAATCATAGTCCTCATAGTAGAAATGGCAAAGCCCATTAGGTCTGGTTAAAAAGTCAAAAAAAAAAATTATTAAAAAAATTAAAAAATTTACAATTTATATCAAAAAGTCAAAGGTTCTTTTTCTTCTTTACTTTTTACACATCCTTTTATAAAAAATTAAAAAATCATTCTAAACATAATTTTTTTTTACCTTGTATTAAAATAGTTTATTCTCAAGTGAAGCTTAGTGAAGTGAAAAAGAAAAGGAAAGAAAAAAAAGAAAAAAAAAAAAGCACATCAAAGCCGCTTTTGTTTTAACAAAAAAATTTTTTTTTATCATTTTTTTTATTTAAATATCTATTGTAACCTTGAAATTAATATGCTAATGATGGAAGCGATGTCATGGTAGATATGATAGCCGTGGTGGTGAGGTGAAAATAAATACAAAAATGATAAAGATTCTAAAAATTTTATCGAAAATTTTACTAAATATTTCATATTGGTAAAACTTACATGTGAATCTCACACTCATGTAAAACATTTGATAAAATTTTTGATAAAATATTTAAACTCCCTGACCTTGCTCAAATAAATAATGACACGTATAAAGTAAGATGCTTTATTCCCCACGATTATAAAATCTCTCCAGTAAGGAAGGAATACCCTTTCGGCCATACAAAACTTTGCTTCAAAACTTGCCCAGCTTTTTGCTCCACTACCTTAGGCTGCGACGTAGCCACCCAATACACCTATGATATCCAATGAAACCCCAACCTTTCATATAACAATATAAATCCAGCCACCCATGTGGCCATGTCTGTTAAAATATCTTACATTTTCTCTCTCCCTCGGCACAAGCTTCGGCTACTTCCCACAATATAAACAAATAAATAAATATATATATATAAAAAAAAAAAAATGACAACACACAAAGCACAAGCCGAGATTTCAGGCAGCAATAGTGGCAGCAGCCAAGACTACTTGGCCGAAAGATCGTCAAACAGCAAAGAAACCGATCAATGCCATGTGGGAAAAGCACTAGTGCACCGAGCACTTTTTGGCTCAAGCCGGCGTCGGGCGGGAGGTAGAAAGGTCAGAACCAACGACACAGCAAGAACATCACCAAGCAGGCTGAGCAGAGTCTCTTTAGCTGATGATGAAGCAGAAAAGTAGAAGAATAGTTTGTCTAGAGGGTTTCTATAACTAGAGGAAAGTCACTGTTCCAATTCTCAATATTGGATGTTACTTAATGTTTGCCATATAAATAGTGTTATAGAAAAGGTATATAGTACAATATTTGAATTTCGTTCTTACTACCATTCCTTTCGAAACAAAACATAAATATACCAATACTACCAAACAAACAGGAGACCTAGAAATCCTCTTACCTGTGCCAGGTAGAAATATACCGGAAGGAAGAAAATCATCATATTGCATATAGATATCGAAATGCTAGGTTGCTTCATCATTCCAAGGGCAACAACCAATCCACCTGCATAATAACAATTACAAAAATGTTGTTGTTTCCAGAAACTAATCATTTTCTTGATAAATGATATTGTCCAACATTTGGAGCACTTTTACAACCAAGCATTTTGAGAGTACAATTACCTCAGTGGCCTTTACCTTGCTGATCCATAAGAAAGCAAAAGAAAACTATAGCAAGATAAGGAATTTTGATATGTGACCACAACAAAAGTAGTTACACCACCAGGGGAAAGGAATACATTTCAAAGCAACCGAGAGAGAGAGAGAGAGAGAGAGAGAGAGAGAGAGAGAGAGAGAGAGAGAGAGAATGCTCTATAATCAACCAAACTCTATAATCCAGTATACAAAATGTAACTTCCAGTAATATCTTAGATGAGCAAAACCACATCACAAAAGAAACCTACTATTTTAACACCTGACAAAAGCATTACACTAACCAGTGTTCACAAACCTAGCAACTTAAGGCAAATGAATAACTGAGTGAATAAATACTAGACACAGGAAGCTCCACAGAGAGGTTAGATCAAGAAAATAAGTTTCCTAATGCAGTACTCTTAACCCAGCAAATCACAAGGAAGGATATATATTACATAAAAATAGGTAAAGCAAAGATTGCATTAGAACTAACAAATTTCTTCTGTTGTTCCACGAACGTATTAATTGATCAACTTGACAAACTTAAAGTCACTTGCCAGACTGCAAGGTTTATGATGATTTGGGCCCATACTGAACTAAAAGCCACTGTTTGCAACCGGTAACCACTAGTAACCGCGTGCATCAGTTTTTAGCTTCTTCCAACTAAGACATTAATTAAAATACTACTACTAATACCAAGCAATCATTAATGCATACAAATACTATATGTATCTATTCTGCAAATTGAAGGAGGCACTTTAAGGAATGCATTTGAAGATGGAAATATTTTGATATTAGTGTATAGACATGGCTACCATAGTGCTGTAACTTTACACATCTAGCCAATTCCAGAAGTTTACCTACAAAAATCCTAGCCCATCAGCATTCAAATCATCACCTCCCATCATTGGACAATCAGCTGCATCATGTCCAAACTGCCCACAACAAGGCACAGAGCAACGCCTTCGTTTCCTATACATATCTGCCGGATCTCTTGATCTTCTCTCTTTCAGCTTTCCTAAAGTTAATGACTCGTGAGGATTCCCAGCAGTAAAACTTTGAACAATACCATCAGAATCTTCAACCTCCGGAAGTATCAATGAATCAGATGGGCTGTTATAGGAGATATCATCAGCACCATGTGATGGCCCAGGGAATTCCTTGATACGAGACAACACCAGAGCAATTTGGTCACAAGCAACATCAAGGCGTTCCTCTGTCTCAGTTGATTCTGTAAGTAGTGTTGAAACAACAGAATGCAAGAACTGGACTTTCACTACATGATCCCCTGAAGTGGGACCCTGGATTGACTTTGTCATTGATGAGGCAACATCGCGCCAACGGATGGGTAGATATTGGTCTGGAATATGAAAACAATTGTTTGTTGATAAAACACGAAGAACATGTCTACACAGGATGCCTGAGAACTCAAATTGATGGCAGCTACAGCTAATGAACTCATCATGCGGGACCCAAATTACTTTGCAACCCCCATCTATCTCTGTATGGTGCCTCACAACAAAGTAACTTTCATCTATCATTAGTGATGCATATTGTGGTGCCAACACAAGTTCCTCTTGTAGTTTGCAAAAGGCATATGGTGTAAGAACAGTAGCAGCATGCGACTCAATTGGTGAACCAGTTTTGAGAGAGAGTTTCTGGACCTTCCGTTGCATCTTGTGTTTTACTCCAGCATCCTTAACATCCACAACAGTAGCCAGCTGGGGAAAAGAAGTGCGTGTATCAAGTAAATGACAAATAATGAAGAATCAAAGAAAAAAACTAACACTTTCATACCTGCTCTACAAAATTATCTAGTGCAGATTGTGCACTCAAAAACCTTTGGATATAAGCATTTATTGAGTCTGACTGAAATGAACTTGTCATTCCTGCAAAGAAGTAACATCTCAAAAAAGGTAGAGCCCAAAATGTACGCAGGGCATATAAGCTGACAATGTGCTTATTTCCATGTAGTCCATTTGTATCAACCATCTCCCTCCACCCCACTTCAAAATCCTCCACTGAGTGCAAATTATAGAGCCGATGGAATTCAGCTCTCCATTTATCATATTGAGACCCAAGAAGTACAGAGAACCAATCTGAAAACTTTGAAATTATATGCCAAATGCAAAAGGCATGCTTGGTTCTTGGCATTTCAGCTGCAAGTGCTTCTTTGAGCCACACATTTTGGTCGGTTAAAATTGTTTCTGGAGCCTTTCCATTCATAAAACCCACGAATGTCTGTCATACACAACGAAAGCCAACAGTTCCAAGACTGATATTAAAAAAATAAAAGAATTTTGGATAAGTAGTATGGAAGGCCTACCATCTGAGAACCTAAACTTTCACTAATAAAGCTCATCAATGGCATCATCTCCTTGATGGGGCCTAGAGATAATTGTTGCAACATAACCACTGATAGCTTTCCCATTTCCAGGGTTTATGGATCAAAGACATGACATGTATTTGAGAAGGCCAGGTCATAGTAAAGAACCATTCCAAAGGGGAAGAAAAATGGTTGTGCATCAAAATTTACAAAATTGTCAAATACTAAAAACAAAGGTATGTGTATAGCAATTGATGTTGTGGTTATCAGTTCCCAAAAGAAGATGAGAAAGACTTTAAAAATCTCATGTAGATCAAACATAACATG